AATTCAATGCAAGCCGTTTCGTGACTAACGATGTCATGGCATCAAATCTGTTTTACAGTCAATTTGAATCCTACATCCAGAGTTTTATTTCTTCGACAAAACGTTCATTCAAAAGATCCATTCAATTGATACGTGAATTAACTGAAGGCAATGTACTTTTCACGGGTATTCTTAGTAATCTTCAGTTTAATATGGTTGTTAACGGTACTGAAAATGTATTTTTAACCATAAATTACACGACATTTATGGATAACTCATCAAACTGTTCATGTCAACAGACACCCACATGCGTAGCACCATCTTCTGTCTTTTACGATGTTTCCTATGCTGCCAAACCAGTGATTCGATTTACTGTACCGGGAATTATGCGTGGATGTTATATCCTTGAAGCGTTTCTTCAATCAAATTTGATCTGTTTTTATAATCAATCCTGTGTCAATAATCTTCGTTCTGCATTAAATACAACAGATCCGTTGAACATGACCATTGTACTCAATACAACTGCACTCAATCCATTACTTCCCAGTCAATTTCATATCAATTCAACATTGAATGATATTATTAATGAATTGATGGTCGAAGAATGGATAACGAATGCATCCCACGAAATGTATTATACAGCATGTAATCCATCAGTATGCACCTATTCTGTTATTGGTAAAAATAAGTTGATCTCGGTAATATCAACTATGATTGGCTTGTTTGGAAGTCTTACTACGATACTGAAATTTATCGTGCCAATCGTAGTCAAAAGAGTGAGATTATATCTTCAACGACATGGCAACAGGGTCGCAAACATCGATGAACTCACAATAGAAACACAAACGAGCATACGCTATTGATTTGAACGCTTTTGTCCTGTATTTAGCGTCTAGTGACTAGACTGGTAAGCCATTCGACTCAGTCGCCGCCGCCAGGACTGCTGAAATTTTAAAAACTTATAAACCGCCGCCGCTGATGAACTAAAAAAGTTAAAGCCGTCGCCGCCGATTATCCTGCCGGCTTACACCTCTATTAGTGACTTAAAAACACATATAACAATCTAATACAGAACAATATTTCTTTCGTTTAGCGAACTATAAAAAAAGAGTTCCTTCACTTATATATTACGATGTTTGATCTCTGAGAAAGAAGGAAGTTTGCAGAATTCTTCGAAAAGGTTCTACAGATGTCTAAAAGAATCTGAATCTGTCCAAAGTCTCAAAAAAGGGTGGATGTGAGTGTGAATGTGGTTGAGAATGTGGGTATAGTGGATCCAATACCACACCCATACCCTGAATAGAATACTAATTCTCATTCTCACTCGTCTCTTTTTACCTTCAATAGTATAAATTCTATATTCTTTTTCATTGATCTATTCACAAGTAATTAGTACTTTTCCCACAATATGCCTTGTTTCTTTGACAGGGGCACTTGATTTATTCTTTGTCGAGAGTATCTTTCGTTTTACAAAACTATGCATATAATCAGAAAATAATATATATATTCACTTTCTAAAACACAACAATTCAAGCTGATCAAACTATTTGCCAACAAAAGGGTTTCGTTGAAAAAAATTGGTTTGTTTCAAGATATTATAGAGCTATCTATTTCTGATATTCATTTGAGAACGATTATTCATACTTTATCATCACATGTGAACTCGTTCTCATCCGAATATATGTGGTTAGTGACAAGGAATGATTAATATTCTTCACATCTGTATTGATATGCACTCAGTTGTACAAATAACGATTTGTCTTTTATCAGTTACGGCTCTTCTTCAACATCCGCCATACAATATCACTTTGAAATATTACTCCAACTCATATTATTTGGTGAATGATAATTTATTAAGAAATGTGAATGATTAAATAGCTTGATTATATATAAAAAAAATTATGATTCAGTTCACAAAAGAAAATGTCATTCTGTCTGTATCGACTAATAAAGCTCAGCACTATTGAGATAACCGCCGCTGTTCTGTCCACCAGTAAATAATACTTCTCCATATGCTAATGTGGATGCTGTGTGATCTGATCGTGCGATACTCATGTTTATTACAGTTGTCCAAGTGCCTGTTGATGGATTGTACAATTCTGCACTATTCAGATAAGCACCGTCAAATCCACCAGCAACCAATACTGATTCATTTGCTAATCTGGATGCTGTGTGAGTACTTCGTGCGGCATTCATGCGTCCTGTAGTTGTCCAAGTGCCTGTTGATGGACTGTACAACTCTGCACTATTCAGATAAGCACCGTCAAATCCACCAGCAACTAATATTGATCCATTTGCTAATCTGGATGCTGTGTGAGATCTTCGTGCGGCATTCATGCTTCCTGTAGTTGTCCAAGTGCCTGTTGATGGATTGTACAATTCAGCACTATTAAGAGAAACGCTACTGCTGCTCGATCCACCAGCAACTAATATCTTTCCATCTGCTAGTGTGGACGCTGTATGATATTCTCGCCCAACACTCATGTTTGCTGTAGTTGTCCAGGTGTCTGTTGATGAATTGTACAGCTCAGCACTATTGTGATAAGTAGTATCACCGTTGTGTCCACCAGCAACTAATACTAATCCATTTGCTAATGTGCTGACTGTGTGCAACCTTCGTTTGACACTCATATTTCCTGTTGGTGTCCAAGTGCCTGTTGATGGATTGTGCAATTCAGCACTATTGAGAACATAAGCACCGTCAAATCCACCAGCAACTAATACTAATCCATTTTTTAATACAAATGCTGTGTGAAATCTTCGTTTGACACTCATATTTCCAGTAGCTGCCCAAGTGCCTGTTGATGGATTGTACAATTCAGCACTATTAAGAGGGTTACCGTCGCTGCCTATTCCACCAGTAACTAATACTGTTCCATTTGTTAATATGGACGCTATGTGAAATGCTCGTGTATCAGTCATGTTTCCTGTCATTGTCCATTCTAGATAAAACAGAAAAGTTCGAAAAAAAATATTATTTTTAAAATAACTTTGAATCTCTCATATGCATAATTTGTCTATCAAGTGATCACAGCTTAAATGATTTGAAATCTTCAATAAACTTCTCTTTGTTTTCATGATTAAGGTAAGGTTCATTATTAAATTTTAAATTGAATTAATGAAAAATATGCTATAATCAGTTTCACTGATATTTTCTGAGTTCTACCGATGTCGTGAACTGACGAAACTCAACCACTGTCCTACAATTTAGTTGTGATTAACAATGATCGAATTTCAGAATTTGAGTGAAAGTCATTCTACATTGTTCAACATAGTGAAAACAAGATGTGCTTTCACCATGTTGGATGAATAGTGTTTACATATGTTGGGATATAGATAAAAATGAGTGTCAATGAGGATGTCACTGTGAGTATAAGAGAAGATGATTCTCGTATCGTTCTCATGAGAAAATCAGTACACTAATGATTAATTGATGCTGATGGTGAAAAACGTTTTTCTCGAGTTTGAAGTTTGCATTTTATACTACTTTGATATTTGTTTGAATGATTCAACTCTATACAAATGCGACCCAAAACATGATATTAGGTGTTGATAGACATGTCTCATGTCACTATTATGTCAACTAATACTTCAACGTGTAGAATTATCCTCCGATCACCTTGAGAGTGGGTGGGTGGATGTGAGTGATTACTAAAGTGAACAATGAGTTCAATCGCATGAAAACCTTTTTATCAAAAATCTTCTCATCTAACACTGTTGGACAGGACAAGAATATTGATTGCTCAAATGAGTGTAGATCAAATCAAGTCATCAAAAACTGGTCTTATTTCGACTTCTGATAGGAAATGTTACTTAGTATTGTCTATTTAGATGGCGATAATTCAATAGTTAAAATCAAAACTTTTGTATATCGCCATTTCTAGTAATCATCTTTTGAGTCATTACAAAGGATTTAACATAGTACTCACTCGGTACTGCTGGTGTTGATAATGTTGTGGATGTTGTCGAGGTTGACGATGATGATGATGATGTTGTTGTCGATATTTTTGTTTTTTTTATTGTTGTTGTTTGTATTCTAGGTTCTTTTGCTGTCGTTGGGGATGCAGCTTCACTCTTCTTTCCGCTTGGCATAGTTACATTATGAAAAGACGCCTGTTTTATTTGATCTTCCGTTATTTTAGCTCCTGTCATATCACTATTTGAAAACTGCGCGCCTGTCAGATTTGCACCAATAAAACTAGCACAAAGTAAAGATGAACCATCAAATTTTGCATTATCTAACTGTGCTCCATCAAATGATACACCATTTAAATCAACAGATGAAAACTCTGCATTTGACATTGATACTTGATCAAAAGAAGTGCATTGTAGATTCAATTTATTTAATATACCAGTTTCACTTGCTAGATGTACCTTATCAAAATTTAACTCATTCAAACGAATTATATCATCTAGTTTTGTTGTTCTACATCCATTAGTACAATTATTTCTACCAATTAATTGTTTTTCTTTCAGAAATTGTATAACATCTGCTTTACGTATTGTATCCCATTGACGATGAGCAGCACGATAATATGCATTTGCAAATGCCCATGGATTTTTTGT